TACAGTCATCCCTTCCAATTCTTAACCCGCAATACCAACAACGTCATCATCACGAGGTTATCAATAAAAATCACATAAGGCTCAAAAAATGGGAGACTAGGGAATAATTTTCAGAAAAGGAAAAGGATAGAAAAGTTCAATAAATGCCTTAATCATATTCACCGCTCACAATCCTAATTGATTCATTTCAATGCAGACTCAAGGCAAGTTCTAATCAAACAAGAGCACGACCAATGCATCTCAAGAAACAAATAAGGCTCAAACCTCACTAGGTAGATATATGAATGCCAATCAAAGTAATCGACCAAGCATTTCATCATGCTATGCCTCATATGACCAACATCACAACTCATCGAATTCATCAAACAAGTCTTAACTAATCTTGAAATTTTCAAAGTCTATACTCACAAAGATACACAAAACCTACACTAGACCGGTCCACCACATAAGCATGCAAAATCCACGTAAACTCCCCCACACTTAAAATGAGGCAATGTCCTCATTGCTTTAACACAAAACAGGAAGTCAAATACTAGGACCAAGCAATTTCACATAATGAACCAACCCTAGCAGCTAACACAAGAACACCAAACTCAGAAGAAAGGACAGAAGGAAGAAGCAGCACAAAAAGATAAAAAGAGAAAAGAGTACGCAAACCGAAGATGCTTCGAGTGTAGTAAGCATTCCCATGCAGGCCTTTCGCCCATGCTTAACCCAGAACCGGGACACGTCCTGCCAAGAAAAACACAAAACTCCAAAACTCCCATTATTCAAAGATAAAACTAAAAAAACAAAAAGAAAATAACTAAGAAAACGATAAATCACTTGGGTTGCCTCCCAAGAAGCGCTTGTTTAACGTCATTAGCTTGACTAAACCTGTACAAATCAACCAGGATCCAAAAAGAAGTGACGATCATGCCATGCCTTCGTATTCTCCAATAATAGTCCCGATGGTAGTTCAGAACAAAGGCGGGCAAAGAGTAAAACCCTCGTGGCAACGTTCTTATGATGCAGAGCACGGATATCAACAACTACCAAGAGGAGAGATAAAGCATTACGAATCCAAGCCTCATAATCGACCTCCGGAAATATGAACATATCCGTGGAGCATGTCGAATCGATCCCGGCCTTCACCAATGCAATCTCGGATGTGTACTCTTCAACTTCAAGTGTCGGGAGCATGTGCGTAAACGCACTCGACTCCTCTAAATGCTCACAATCCTCAACAGCATGCGATGACGACCCAAAGGACATGGGAGCCACCTCATACTCAACATCTCGAGCCGAGTCACCTATCAATGCACAATTTGGTTCAATAACCTCATATGATGACTCGACCTCTTCATCAACCTCATCCTCGTAACACTGGACTACCTTCTCCTCCTCCTCCTCATAAGTATCCTCCCGAGCTCCTTCAACAACACTCGGCACAATCAAACCTTTTGGTGATCGTCGGTAGGAACAACCCTTGTTTGACTTGAAGTCTCGGTTCTCAAGGCACAAGGTTGGCCAACCGATTGGTTCTCGTAGATAGGAGGTGGTAGAGTGTAAGACTCGGCGTCTTCTTTTTCGGATGGGGACACCTTTGAAGTACAAATGGATAGAAAGGATTGATTTAACTTCTCCATCTTCTCAAAAATCTCGTCTATAGAGAAGCTACTTGAGTTGGCTCGGGTGGAGGTATTGAATCGAAATATGCGGGAGGCGGAGGGTAGTAGTCGTAGGAAGATGGCGGTTGGTAATAAGGCGGCTCGCATTGATTCGGAGCGTAATAACCATATCCGCCTTGAGATGTCGGGTAAGAATGGCTCGGGCCATACCCTTGGGATGTGGTGTATCCGTCAAGGTAATAATGATTTGAATGGCTCGGGTACGGATTGGGCGGCCCTCCATACGAATACATCTCCCCTTGATAATTGTCGGGGTATCCACGAGACAAATTTCCGGCATAGGAATAATCGTATGGATTCATCGGAATTCCTCAAGCAAATACCTCGCACAAGAACAAAAACAAAACAACCAAAGGCACACGAGGCAAAAACAAAAACAAACTAACACGGAACGATATTCACAACAACACAAACATCAAAAGCAAGAGAAATATCAAATAAACAAATAATCAAGAGAAACACAAAAATTAAGTAAATATCACAAGAATAAGAGAAACACGAAAAATAAACCAATACCAAAACCAAATATCCTACTTGCCTTCCCCGGCAACGGCCCCAAATTTGTTGTAGCAAATTATTTTATCTTTTTACCGAGTACCGAATCGAAGGATTCGTTCCCCGGGTCAATCTCTCGAGGAAGACGGTTCGGAATTTAGCGTTGGTCTTGATCACACACGAAAAGAAAATAAGTCCTAAACACTCTAATCACGATTGATTTGGGGAATCAACTAAAACAAGCTAGAACTAGAAAAACAATTTAAAGAAATAACAATTAAATTTCTAGAGAAAAAGAAGAAATTCTAGGGGTCGGGAAATCTCATCAAGTCTTAAACTATGTTGAACGCTTATTTGTTCAATTACGAGATTAAACAAGCCTACACGTCTAGAGGGCTATGCTCAATAACTCTTCGTAACAAGAGCACAAACATAAACGATAAATTCATTCAAACAAGCAACACATAGACAATACTTTTACGAACATGTCTACTCTATACGAGCCTAAATCTACTGACGTCTCCCCTCTCAGTTCTAAACGTCGATTAACTAGGTTAGAATGGTGATCAATCAACTAACCATATAATTCACACAACTCGTATAGATTGAACAAAACACATTCCTCAATATTCAAAACAAGAATCAAAATCCCTAACCCTAGGTGAATGGATTACCTCATGCTTAGATTCAATTTCATGTTAACCGGAATTAAGAACATAAAACCAATCAACAATAATAAAATAGAATTGAAAAACTTACAATCGGATTAAGAGTTGCAAGATTTCAATCCAAATATCTTTGTGTCCAACAATCCAAGCATGAGAGAAAAAAAAACGGAGAAATTTATCCTAACAATATTGAGTTTTTGGATAGAAAAATTGAAAGGAACGATAGTGGGGGTTGTTCCCACGAGTCTAAGGATCGTTTTGATATATAGTGCACGAAAAATGGAGCTAAAACGAGTAAAACGAGCAAAAATAAAAAAAAGTCCCAGTCGCGAGTCACGACTTTCCCTTTTCCTCGGTCGCAAGTCGCGACATCCTCGCGAGTCGCACGTCATCATTTTTTTAATATTCTGGGGCTGGTCGTGACCCAAGTCGCGAGTCGCGACCTCAACTCGCGAGTTGTGACTTCGACACGGAACTGCTCCTTAAGCTCAGTTTTTCTCGCGAGTCGCGACTTTCATCTCGCGAGTCGCGACTTTGGTCTCACGAGTCGCGACTTTTCTCACGCGAGTCGCGACTTTGAACTGCATTGCGCAATTTTACATTTCGGGCTCGTTTGGGCTGGTCTGAACTCGGAATTGATTTTCGTTTTTTGCTATGCGTCACCAACGAACCCTTTCATTAGAATATGCACTCGAAACAAACTTTTTCTGAAGCAAAAATTCTCCCGAAGCTCCCGACCTACACACCAAAAATGACAAAACACAAAAAAAAACTGAAAAAACAAATGAAAAAAACACCTAAAGACTCAAAATAAACGAAAACACATAATAAAACACGAAATAGACTAAAAACTAAAGAAACGACCTAAAACGGGGGGAAAAGATAGATAAAATAAACACGAAAAACGCAACAAGAATGGGACAAACAGTACTCGACGAGTACTCGATTTCCATACTATGACGAGTGCCTTGTACTACCAATCAGGCAGGATTAAGGCCTTCCATAGAGCAAAAAAAAGGGTGACGGCATGACCGAAAATATTAGAAATAGCTAATAGACCAAGGTTTATGATAAACCCTCACTTATAACATAAGTCCACGCAAAAAGGATTGAGTCAATTTTCACAAGTCTAACTAAAATATGCATATGCACGTCTACTAAAAAAAATCTCTAACATTTGAAGAAGTGGAATCAATGCTAAAACTAGACTTTTTCAGTTACACATCTGCTGCTTTTCCCACATACACTTTTGAAAATACCCTATACAAAAAGTGACAAGAATTAATGTTTATTACACAACAACCATGAGAAGTAAACCAACTAAAGTTGAGTTTACAAAATCTAACTTGGATAAGAATTCAACTATTTGCAAGGATCAGAAACCTGTAGATAAACTAACACAACATAATTTGTAGTGTTGCACTTAGGCTATTGTCATTTTCCTTCTGCTAGAAGAAAATTTTCACTTGAATTTTTTCATGAAGTACACTACCAAGTCATTTTCCATGTGCGCAAGAACCTCGTAGGACTAGACTCGACATAAAGATCCACTATTTCCACTAAATAACACAAGCATAATCTCTTAAATGCTCAATTCACCCTGTATATTAGAGAACCAAACATGTAGTGCTCACATATAAGAAGACATAATATATCAGGGGAAACTAAATACAAACTTTCTTTAAATCAAAATCATATTTAGGAAGCACATGATAAGACAAGACGCACATACGTATATGTCAGTTTTTTCCTTCTTCATTTTTTTACGTGGTGACTGTGTTTTGGCTTTCTTTCTCATCACTAGCCTTTTTTCTATATAGAAGATAATGAGTGACATCCAAATTATCAATTAATGAGGAAGCTTGAGGTGGCTAATCAAAAATGCAAAGAGTGTGCTGTACATAATATATATTCTTTACCCCATAAAGATGGAACTGGAAGTTTGAGGGACTCAGATGCTATACTTGTGATCAAGCAGCTTCAAGAAAAGGTTTTCCCCTCGTGTATTGCTTTCGTTCTCCAATGTTCTAGTTGTATTCCATCATGTAATTTCTACTCAGTAGAGAATATTGTGGATAAGTGAAACAAGTGAAATAATCTGCTTACATGAGGGGAAAGCTTATGTATTTCACTTATCCACAATATTCTCTACTGAGCAGAAATTACATGATGGAAGACAACGAGAACATTGAAGAACGAAAGCAATACACGAGGGGAAAACCTTTTCTTGAAGCTGTTTGATCACAAGTATAGCATCTGAGTCCCTCAAACTTCTACTTCCATCTTCATGGGTTAAAGAATATATATTATGTACAACACACTCTTTGCATTTTTTATCACCCACCTCAAGCTTCCTCATTAATTGATTAATTTGGATGTCACTCATTATCCACTATAGAGAGAAAAGGCTAGTGATGAGAAAGAAAGCCAAAATACAGTCACCACGTATAAAAAAATGAAGAAGGAAAAAACTGACATGAGTTTCGAATTCTATAAGCAGATTTTCATAATCTGCTTGCAACTCGGTAAAGCCACCTTTCTCCTGCAAAAGAAGCAGTTATGTAGAGAGAAAATTGACAATGTAAAGGAAAAATTTATAACATGTTAAGAACCATAGTTGAACTTCTTTTCTTGGGTACAACTTTTTGCGATAACATGCAGCAGAGCATGAGGATCAGGAAGTCTAGGATCTTCCAAAGCACTGCATTACAGTCTTTATCTTGTTTGCTGAGCTCATAAGTACTTTCTTCTTTAACTAACTCTTCAAAAGGAAGAGTAGCCTCACTGCTCTTTCATCTATTCTTGCTGATTTCATTTTTTAGAGGTGTTCTTTAACTACAGGCAACAACTACAACAAACAAGGAAGAATGTCAATGGATTCTCATGGACATTAGTAAAGCAGCAATTAATAAAATGTTAATGGCAAGCAAATTTTGTTCATATAGAATATATGGAGGTCTTAAGATCAACCGGTTGCTAAAATAAAAGGATCCATATGATGTGGAAACAAATTCACAGTAAGTCCAATCAGGTTGTCTAAAAATATATGTTGTCACTCATCAGTTACTGCAAATACTGGCACACATCGCATAAGAACTAAAATAACATGTTACCATAAAACATTATTTGAAGTTGTATACTCAAACATTGATGCACTTCCAACTTCAACAAGAAACAAAATTCAACTAGGACAATGATAATTGCTTCCGTTTATGTGAAAGCATGAGTTCATAACTCATGGTTGGAAAAGTAAAACAGTTACCTCTTTTGATTTCTTCCTTGCAATATTTCCAAGGCACCAGGTATCGCGTCTTTTTGCATACCATTCATGACACACACAATACAACCATGCGGATAAAGTGTTATTATTTTTATTTTCTTCTAATAAGTTGGAGAAAAACTTATGCAAGAAGATTCCCATCTCCTGATCATTAGAATCAGAAAAAAGAGTATAGTTAGTGGCACGTTTTGAGAAAGAATGTAAAACCGGAAAAGTGTGTCATGGAGAACAAAGAAACGTTTTGAGAAAGAATGTAAAACCAGAAAAGAGTGTCATGGAGAACAAGGAATAGAGGCTGATAGCATATGCATGCTTCTTGTCCATGATGCGTCCAGGTTTGAAGAGTTGACAGGAAAGGAAAATAATATACTGCATTAGCTTTGATCATGACTACAAAATGTTTCTGAGAAGTAACGGATTCCGTTGAACTCGAATTGAAGGCAATTGGGTCTATGAAGTCACTCTAGGACATGACAACAGCTATAATGATCTACGGTAACTTGCTTTTTCTTATAGGAATTCTTACCATAAATAATGAGAAGACAATAGCCTATTTACTTTCAACAAAAGATCCGATGTAAGAGAAAACAAAGGCCAAGTCAATACTCATTAAAGATACATTTAGATAGATAACGTACCTTCTTGTAGGCGTCACTTGTCTCTTCTCTGTTTGCACAAAGTACCATAGAAGTCAAGTTTTCTATTTTCTTGCCTTGCACTTGTAACTTCTCCTCACGTTCAACCTGAGCTCTCTTTTCTTCCTTTAGCTTTAAAGAGATTCCCACTCTCTCCAATTCACTCTACCAAAGGATAACATCCCTTAGAACATATGCATGCGGCTTAATTTATGGTATAAGAAATGAAGTACCTTTAGCAAAGTATTCCGCAGATTCAATATCTCCTCTTCAAGACGTTCGGAGTGTAAACCATGTGAACAAACAAACTGCCACACTAGTTTCCTTTGGTCAATAGTGAATATAGAGGAACTATTTTTAGCCTATTTGTTCAGAGTAGTAACTAAAATCTTATATCATTAGTATGCCACACTAGGTCCTAACACAATACCTACCAGCAATTTAGCTCGAAGTTTTTCAATCTCCTTCTTTTGACGTTTTAGCAACGCAACATCAGTCAATATCTGCCATTACATAAGATAAAATCATCTACAACGACAGTAAAAGAAGTGAGGAAGTCACTCTCAAGTAAAAAAGAGACAGGTTTCCAGATAACCTATCCTGAAAATAAGTGAGAAGATTGGTACTAAAAATAATAATTCAGGTAAACGCTATATTTTTCAGAGATGGTGATTAGCGTCTATTGGAGTACAATTATAAAGAGGTTGTCACTCGAGGGTATGACCTCATTAACATGAGCGCAGTTTGTCACGCGCAATGCGCTGCTGGCAAACTGAAGACTACTTTTAGTTTCATCAGCATAGATCTGCAATTATAAGCAAACACAGGATGGATGAGTATTAACAGTTGCACAGGCACATTTCTCTACAAAGAAAATAAATCCTCAAACTTCAAATTCCAAAGTCCCATATGAATAATTCAATATGTAAATAAGGTCTAAGAGAAACAAATAAGAATTTTAAGTTTAACAGAGGGCCAAGCTACCAGCATAAACATTTTCAAACTAGGTCTAATTCTGGTTTTACCCTAGAGCATCATCCCAACCTCAACCAAAATTCGATTCTCAAAGGCACTAATTACGTTGTAATATTGATCTCTTTGCTACAGATAAGAAACTAACTAATAACAAGGCAGAAATTAAAGGAGTAACTTATGGTTGACCCTTAATTGTAAAAGAGTAACTTATGGCTGACCATTAATTGTAAATATTCTGAGTTATGTTTTAGGAGTAAATAAGACATTAGACTAGGAGCTAGAATAGCAGCTTACCTAAGATAGATTGTACACAAATTACTATCTAATGGAAAAGAGCCTAATGTAAAAACTTGTTATGGTATAAGAGCCACTTTGTTTTTTTAGGAAATTTTCAGAGATTTTGGTTGATCAAACTATTTTATTAACAACTTCGTTAGGGATTTTGGGTCAATCACATAGTGGTTGAATATTTTTTTATTTTTTTTTCTGGGAGAAGATAGAAGCTTTATTCTAGTTAGAATGTCTGCTGTAGATCATGTCGGAAAATTTCCTGCAGAGACTTTGAGTTTCAAATTTACAGGGAAAAACTATGGTGCTTGGGAATTTCAGTTTAAAATGTTTCTGAAAGGAAAGGAACTCTGGAATCACATTGATGGAACATCTCCTCCTCCTAAAAAAGCTAGGGAACTCAGTCAATGGGAGAGTAAGGGCGCCAAAATTATTTCTTGAATTCTAGCATCCTTTGAAAGTCATATGGTCAACAGCCTACGATCATTTCGTACGGCTAAACAGATGTGGGATTGCTTGAAGCGTGTATACAATCAAGAAAATACTGCTCGGTGATTTCAACTTGAACTCGACATCAACAATTTTGGCCAAGGCAATCTTTCCATTGATCAGTATTATTATGGTTTTATAAATCTTTGGAGTGAATATTCTGATATTCTCTATTCCAACGTATCTAATGAGGCTTTGGCAAGTCTTCAAGAGGTTCATGAAGTGAGCAAGCGTGATCAGTTTTTGATGAAGTTGAGACCAGATTTTGTGAGCGCCAGGGCAGGTTTATTGAATCGAAGTCCAGCACCCACATTAGATGTTTGTCTTACTGAACTACTACGTGAGGAACAACGATTCGCTACTCTTGCTGTCATGGGGGGTCAAAAAAAACATTTCAGATTCTCAATGTTGCTTTTGCTGCTCAAGGGAAGAATCGAGGAAAGGGTTTCGTTCAGTGCTACAGTTGCAAAGAGATGGGACACATAGCTAGCAACTATACCAAGAAATTCTGCAACTATTGCAAGAAAAATGGACACGTCATTAAAGAGTGTCCAACAAGGCCAGAAAATAAAAAAGCACAAGTTTTTCAAGCTACTGTTTCAGGTTCTCAAGTTTTTGGTTCTGCACCAACTATCACAAATCAACCCATTATGACTCCAGAAATGGTCCAACAAATGATTTGTACTGCATTTTCGGCTCTTGGACTCCAAGGTCAAGGTAACATGATCTCTTCTACTTAGTTTTCTGATTCTGCAACATCTAATTATATGACTGGTCCTCCTAAGCTTTTACATAACCTTCCGAAGTATACTAGCACACAAAATATTCAGGTTGCTAATGGCAATAACATTCCAATAACAACCATTGGTGATATTGGTCCTTCTTTTCGTGATGTGTTTGTCTCGCCTGAATTATCTAGTAACTTTATCTCTGTTAGACAATTGGTGGATGATGACTGTGAAGTGCATTTTTCTCGAAATGGTTGTCTTGTGCAGGATTAAGTGTCGGGGAAGGTGATAACGAAGGGGCCTAAAGTTGGAAGATTATTTCCATTGCAGTTTACTGCTCCACAAGCTTTATGTTTAGCTTCTATGGTAGTTGATAATAAGGCTGAAATTTGGCATAAACGATTAGGCCACCCAGATGATGTCATTTTATCTCATTTAATGAAACAAGGTTTTTTTTGGTTCCAAGGATAAGTGCCTAAATTTTGGTTTGTCTAATGGTTGTTCTACTTGCAAACTAGGGAAGAGTAAGATTTTACCTTTTCCTACAGATGGAAGTCGTGCAGATAGATGTTTTGATCTAGTACATTCTGATGTTTTGGGTATTACACCTGTTACTTCACATGCTCAGTATAAATATTTTGTGACGTTTATAGATGACTATAGTGGCTTCACATGGATATATTTTCTGCGCTCAAAATTTGAGGTGTTGAATGCTTTCCAAACTTTTTAGGCTTACGTTGAGAGGCAATTTTTGACTTGTATCAAGGTACTTCTCTCGGATAATGGTGGTGAATATAGTTCACATGAATTTCAATCGTTTTTGCAGCAAAAAGGTACATATCTCAGCGTTCATGCCCTTACACCCCCCCAACAAAATGGGGCAGCTGAACGGAAGAATCATCACTTGTTCGATATGGTTAGAACATTATTGTTGCAATCTTTAGTTCTGGCTAAATTTTGGGTAGAAGCTTTGTCCACTGCAGTCTACTTGATCAATCGATTGCCGTCTCAACAATTGACTTTTGATTCACCTTTCTACCATTTGTTTAACTTACATCCTGATTACTCTAAGTTGCATACTTTTGGCTGCGTTTGTTTTGTTCATTTGCCTTTTCATGAGCGTCACAAACTTGCAGCCCAATATGTTAGGTGTGCTTTTATGGGATATAACACTGCTCACAAAGGTTTCTTGTGCTATGATGTTGCAGCTCATCGTATACAGATTTCTCGCAATGTCATTTTCTTTGAAAATGAGTTTTATTTTCAACAGCTCATCTCTCCTTCCAGCAAGGTTATCCTTCCTAGATTTGATGACATCCATCAAGTTCAACAGCCAACAACTGAGCGTTTTAAACCCGGCATTGTTTTACCAACGATGCAATTCTTCTACACAAGTTCAACACCCTGATCCATCTACAACTATTCTTCGTAGATCTTCTCGCATTACCCACCCTCTTGAACGGTATGGTTTTTCTGCCGTTCTAGCTGATACTAGCGTACCTACTTCTTACTCTCAGGCCAAAACACAAGTATGCTGGATAAAGGCTATGGAAGAGGAACTTCAAGCACTTGAAGAGAATCAATCATACTTGGGATATCGGTTCTTGTCCTACTGTTGTTAAACCTATCGGATGTAAGTGGGTATATACTCTTAAATTACGATCTGATGGCACGCTTGACAGACATAAAGCACAATTGGTAGCTCTTGGGAACATACAGGAGCATGGGGTTGACTATGAGGAGACATTTGCTCCAGCGAAGATGACAACTGTGAGGCTTGTTCTAGCTATTGCTGCTTGTAAGGGCTAGTCGTTGAAGAAAATGGATGTTAAGAATGCTTTTCTACATAGAGATCTTAAAAAAGATATTTACATGCTTCCACTACCAGGATTATTCTCTACACCATCTTCTGATGATGTTTGTAAGCTTAAATGTTTACTCTATGGATTAAAACATGCTCCCCATGCTTGGTTTGATAAGTTTCGATCTACACTTCTTAGCTTCTCTTTTGTTCAGAGTCGCTATGATTCCTCTTTGTTTCTTTGCAAGACTGCAAACGGCATTGTCATGCTCTTGGTATATGTTGATGACATTGTCATTACAAGGACAGACACTCGATTGGTATATGAAAGACTTGGGTTCTTTACAGTATTTTTTTAGGTCTTGAAGTGCAATCTACCTCAACTGGCACATTCCAACACCAACATAAATACATCCAAGATTTGGTTGCTTTGGCTGGCCTTCAACAAAGCCATTCAGTTGAAACTCCGTTGGAACTCAATGTCAAATATAGACGTGACGATGGTGATTTTTTGCCCAATCCTTCTTTATATCGACAACTTGTTGGTTGCCTAAACTATCTGACTATTACTCGACCATATATTTCTTTTGTAGTTCAACAAGTTAGTCAGTTTATGCAAGCACCTACCACTCTTCACTTGGCTGTTGTCCATCGCATCATTCGGTATCTACAAGGCTCGTCTACTCGTGGTCTTTTCTTCACAGCATTCTTCCACACAATTAGTTGCATATAGTGATGCTGATTAGGCTGGGTGTGCTGATACGCCGTTCTGCCACTGGTTGGTGTATGTTTCTTGGTAACTCTCTTGTTTCTTGGAAAAGCAAGAATCAAGATCGCGTGTCTAAGTCATCTACTGAGTCTGAATATCGAGCTATGTCCTCTGTGTGCTCTGAAATAATTTGGCTTCGTGGGTTATTAGGTGAGCTTGGATTTCCCCAAACTAAACCTACTCCGCTTCATGCTGATAACACTAGTGCTATTCAAATAGCTACTAATCCGGTGTTTCATGAACGCACTAAGCATATCGAGGTAGATTGTCATTCTATTCGTGAAGCATACGATGATTCTATCATCTCTCTTCCACATATCCCCACAGCTCTTCAAACTGCAGATGTGTTTACTAAAGCACTTTCTTCGAACCGACATCAGTTCCTAGTTGACAAATTGATGATTCTTCACCATCCAGCATCAATTTGAGGGGGGATAACAAGGCAGAAATTATGGAGTAACTTATGGCTGACCATTAATTGTAAAGGAGTAACTTATGGTTGACCAAAAGAGTAACTTATGGCTGACCACTAATGGTAAATATTCTGAGTTATGTTTTAGGAGTAAATAAGACGGTAGACTAGGAGCTAGACTAACAGGTTACCTAAGATAGATTGTCCACAAATTACTATTTAATGGAAAAGAGTCTAAGGGAAAAGGCATTCAGTCAAAAACTTGTTAACTAAAAGCATACACCTGATAAAAAAAAAGACATAAGGAGGAAAGGCAATATCGATAAGTACATCTTAAAGAATCGTAACCTACAAGTGAATCCAATACATGTAGTGCTGACTTGCATTGCCAAATCGATTATCGATACAAATAAAAAGTCGGCATCATTGATAATCCAAATCAACATAAAGATTCATATCATTTCAAGGAAAGGTAATTCTCATAATCACCTGTGCAAGTGTAATATTGCAAATATGGCAGTATTTGCATTCCCACCCAACACTGGTTACAGAATACGCGTGAGTTTGCTGTCTCGATAAGGGACATGCCCTCTGCAATATTTTTGGGTAAAACAAACAAGACAATGAACTTGGAGAGAATAACCACACACAAAATAGCAAGGAATGGATGACCAGAAACATGAGGATAGCGGAACAACGAAATGTTTGAATGGAAGTAGCGAATGAAAATACCCTGTAACCAAAATAATATATTTTTTCTGCATTTGAAGATGACACTGAAGCCTCTTTTAGAATCACTAAGAACTAAATTTCAACACAAATTGACCCAATCCGAAAAGAAACAAAAATGTACCCAGCAATAGTGCTGCAGAAGAAGGAAGCAGACAAAGAAAAACCATTTGGAAGTTAACTCTGAAGGAATATGAGTCACGACACAAAAGAGAGCCTTATGGAACTAAATCTATGCTTTTATATCACTCAATGCTCATGCAAAGGAACTCCGTTAATGTGCCATATATGGTTTCAATTAGTGGATAAAAAGGTTGTTCTCACTTTTCATGGTGCCACTAAATTAATACCCACAAAACCAGTATATATTTTGCATTTATATAATAGAAAATGTGTATATTCATTGTATTAAGAATGTCGGAAAGATAGTTGAAGAGCCATTCAACTCAGTGAAAAAACATGAATTTTATAGTTTGAAATGAAGAAACAGAAAGATGATTCCTACCAAAACAGAAACTCGAACAGCATGTCAGCATCACATGAGAACTCTGCTGCCACATCACCACTTCTCTCCTTGCTCTCAATAATCTATATTAAACAAACATATATTAGTCAATTGATAGGTCATGAATGTGGCAGTAACTAGGTGATAACACAAATACCATGTTGAATATTGTGTGTGATCGACTGTTGTATGCATTCATATTCGTCTCTCCAATATGACGATGAGCTGCAAATGACAAGGAAATATGATTCAAAAAGTTGTCATCTATCTTTCTTCTATTTTTTATTTGTTCTCATATTTTTATAGAAGACGAGTGTCCATTGTCCAGAATATCATACTTAAGTGAACACGTAATGACAAACCAGAAAAAATAAAGGGTAACAAACATCAGCAATGCTGGAGTGAGGTTAAAGTTTCTCTATTTTTCTCATGGTTACGAAGGGACAGAGTACAGAGACTTGTGTCTCATAAGCCTACTATATAATATAAGTTTTAAGGAAATTCTATCACTGGAAAGTGGAAAAAAATAAGAAACATATAATAAATTAAACAGTGTAAAAATAAGATTCCTCGCTACATTTTTCACAGACACACGTCTTTGTGTAAACTACATATTTTTTTCTTCTCAGTAACAACTCTGAGTTGAATATAATGGAAACATAAATTATTACCTCAATACTTTCACGAATCCGCAGCTTTCTATGCTCTGGAGCTAGCAAGTCATTTATTTCTTCATTGTAAATTTCCATATACGACATGCGAAGGAGGAACTCTCTCTCCATATCCTTACACCTAAGAAAACAATACAAGCATGTCTCACAACTTTTGAATTCCTCCAGTGAAATCAAATGCCACTGATGCCAAGAAATTTACTGTGAGCTTAAACTAAGACCAGAATTAGGAGTATTTCATTTTATCCTTACTGTAATCGAATTTTTTAGTAGGTGGCCACTGATCTAGTAATCCATAATTTCCGACCTAAGTCCCACAAGCTACACAGACTATCATAGTTTCCTATAACCAAATTATAAGTTCTTATTTTTTTTTTTAAACAAAAATAATAGATGATAGGTTTTATTTTATATTTTGTAATTTTCATTGTTTATATTAATGATGTATTTTTCCTAGTGTAAATGTGTATAGGAATAGCTCTCCTTATGTACAGTATAAATAAATGGAAACCCTAGTTTCCAAACACTTTTTCGTTCTTTTCATTTTCCACATCTGAGAAATAAAATGTCTCTCTATTTTCGTTTCTTTCATCTTCTTCTTTGATCTTCGATCTTGTTGCTTGATATGATATCAATCGCTCAGTATTACGATCCTCACTTCCGCACATCTCTATTCTTTGGTTCTTTGATCATTTTGATATGATTTTTGTTTCTCGATTCATTGGATTCTCTGTTAGGGTTTGCGGTTTTCACCTATAAATCGCGAATCTCTTGTTCTGATCTATATTCTGTTACTATTTGAGATTCAGATCCAGATCCACTGATACATGGAGACTCCATCCTCTACTTTGCGACTGACTGACGATCCTTCATCGCCCTACTACCTTCACGCCAGCGACAATCCAGGAGCCCTAATCGTTGCCAAGCAATTCACTGGTGAGAGCTATGTTTTCTGGTCGTGCTCCGTTTTAATGGCGCTCAACGTCAAAAATAAGTTTGGATTCCTCGATGGTACTGTATCTATCCTTGCACTTGATAATCCTGATCTGTACCTTGCTTGGACTCGTGCAAATAATTTGGTCTTATCATGGTTACTCAATTCTCTTATGAAAGATATTCGTCAATCTCTGTTGTTTTTCACATCTGCGAAAGATGTTTGGGATTAAATTAAATCCAGATATGCACTTAGTAGCGGTCCTAGGGTTTTTCAATTGGAAAAATCACTTCGTAGTATGGATCAGGGTTCTTCTTCCATTACTCAATTATAACTCTTTCAAAACTTTGTGGGATGAGGATGTCACATATCGGCCTGTTTTTCGATGCACTTGTGGTGCTTTTACATCATGCACCTGTAATATCTTTGATTCTATGGTCTCTGCTCAACAGCAAGATGCTGTCATGAAATTTTTAATTAGCCTTAATGATTCGTATTCAGCTGCTCGCAGTCATTTCCTTTTATCCATACCTTTACTATCTTTGTCAAAGACTTACTCTCTCCTTCTCCATGAGGAAAGCCAAAGGAACCTGCAAAATACAGCCAAACCTTTTGATTCCTTGGCAATGCTTGCAAAATCTTCTAACTCTCAAAACAAATTTTCAAAATTCCCAAACAGAGACAGAAAGAAATTCATATGTGAGCATTGTGGGTACAATCATCCTTATGAGAGATGTTTTCAGGTCATTGGTTATCCTGACAATTGGATAGGTCCTAGAGGTCCTAGAATCCATCCAAAAAAAACCCAAGCCCATTCTGTTTTCACTCAAAACACCTCTCCTGATAATCCTCCTGATAACTCTGACAATACTCACACCACGACTAACCAATTGTTTCATGAGTTCCTTGAATTTAAAAAGGTGAATGAGCTTAAACAGGGAACTGGTCCTCTTCCAGCCCCTGTTGCAGCTACTGTCCATTCACAGCCTACTAACTCAGGTACTTCAGCTATTTACTCTTGTCTAACTCAATCATCTTTGAATAAAACTTCTTGGATTTTGGACACCAGGGCTACTGATCACATGATATGTGATATAAATCTTTTTACTTCAAAACCTAACCCCATTTCTGTCAAAATTCATTTACCAAATGGGCAAAGTACTGAGGCTAGCCATGTGGAACAGATTCATCTGGGACCTAATCTTGTGCTACTCAATGTACTTTATGTTCCATCTTTCACTTTTAACCTGGTTTCCATTTCTAAACTAACCATTACCAATAATTTTCAAGTCAATTTTGTTTCTGGCAATTGCATTTTACAAGACATGAAAACCAAATCAGTGATTGGTTCTGCTGAAGTAAAGGCTGGCATTTACCATTTATCTGTTAATAATACTATGTTGTCTTCTGTTTCTACTGATGTAATAGATGAACCTCATGTAACTCATGACTGTGATACTGTTGCTACAAACTCTTCTATTTTGTGGCATAATAGACTAGGTCATCTATCATTCCAAAAACTTGCTTTATTATATGTATGCTCATCTACTGCAAAGAATAATGCACATTATCCTTGTGATGTTTGCCACTTTGCCAGACAAAAGAAATTACCATTTTCTATTAGCACTTCTATTGCATCTTCTGCATTTGATTTAATACATTGTGATGTTTGGGTCCCCTTTTCAGTTACCTCACATTCTGGTTACAAATATTTCTTAACAATACTGGATGATTTTAGCAAGGTAACATGGATTTATCCACTTTCCTTAAAATCAGAGGTTGACAAGTCCATTGTTCATTTTCTCAACATGGTTTTAACATAGTTTAACAAGAAAATTAAAACCATCAGAACTGACAATGGAATTGAGTTCATTTTATCTGATTTTTATTTGCAAAATGGCATATTGCATGAAAGAAGTTGTGTTGAGACACCACAACAAAATGGTAGAGTAGAGAGAAAGCATCAACACTTATTACAAGTTGCTAGGGATCTACTTTTTCATGCACATTTACCTCTTGAATTCTGGATAGACTGTATCTTGGTTGCTGCTCATATTATAAATAGAATACCATCCACTGTCTCGCATAACATTTCCCCTTTTGAAAAACTTCATAACAAACCACCCACTCTGGATCATTTAAGAGTCATTGGTTGTCTTTGCTATTCATCTACTTTGACTGCTTCTAGAACCAAATTTGATCATAGAGCTTCTAAATGCATTGTTCATGGATATCCCTTAGGCTGTAAAAGATATACCCTTTACAACCTTGATACCAAGAAGATATTGATTTCTAGGAATGTTGTTTTCTATGAAGATGTCTTTCCCTTCAGAAACCCTACAAACACTCATACTGAATTTTTATTCCCTGAACCACAACCATTTCTATATGACACTGATCCTGCTATTATTCAACCCAACTCCCCAACTCCCACTCAAGTACAACAACTGCCTGAACAACAACATGCATGTTTCACTGCTTCCATATCTGAGCATACTGAACCCAAAACCTACAAACAAGCAACTTCAAACCTTATGTGGATTGAAGCCATGAACAAAAAAATTTCTGCCCTTGAAAAGACAAACACCTGGGTCCTTACCCTCTTACCTGCTCATAAACATACTATAGGTTGTAAATGGGTGTACAAGATAAAGTATAAATCTGATGGGAAAATAGAAAGGTATAAGGCTAGATTAGTTGCCAAGGGTTATACCCAAGAAGAGGGTATAGATTACTTTGACACATTCTCGCCTGTAGCCAAAATTACTACTGTCAGATTATTACTAACTATTGCATCCATGAAACAATGGCATACACACCAAATAGATGTCAACAATGCATTCTTGCATGGTGACCTAGATGAAGAGATCTACATGACCCCTCCACCTGGTTACCGTGCACCTAATGACACTAGAGTGTGTAAACTCATCAAAAGCCTGTATGGCCTCAAACAGGCTTCTAGGCAATGGTTTCATAAGCTGATCACTTGCCTATTATCATATGGTTTTACCCAATCTGTTGCAGACTCATCATTATTCACCATGCATTCAGACACATCATTTCTTGCATTATTAGTTTATGTAGATGATATCATCCTTACTGGGAATGATATCTCTGTCATTCATAACATCAAACAGAATTTTTATGCATGCTTTACAATTAAAGATCTTGGTCAGCTCAAATACATATTAGGATTAGAAATTGCTCATTGAAACAAAGGCATTCATGTTTGTCAAAGAAAATATGCATTGAACATTTTGCATGACACATGTTTTTTGGACTGCAAACCTTCCAAAATACCCATGGATAGCAATACTAAATTGACCAAATCTTCATCCACTTCTACACTAATTGATGCATCTACATATAGAAGGTTGGTTGGCAGGTTACTATATTTAACCATCACCAGACCAAACCTATCTTACAGTGTTCAGAGTTTAAGTCAACACATGTCACAACCTTTACAAGACCATTTGGATGTTGCCCACAAGATCCTCAGGTATGTCAAAGCAACAGCAGGCAAAGGTATACTACTTTCCAGAACTTCTTCACTTCATTTAAATGCTTTCAGTGACAGTGATTGGGCTGGATGTTTAGACACTAGGAGAAGCATTGCTGGTTATGCTATTCTTTTGGGTGATTCATTAGTATCATGAAAATCTAAGAAACAGGCTACAGTTAGCAGATCCTCTGCAGAAGCAGAGTACAGGGCATTAGCTTCTACTTGTTGTGAAGCACAATGGTTGCTATATCTATTGTCAGATTTGAAAATCACTCACTCTGCTCCTGTTTCTGTATTTTCAGATAGTAAATCAGCCATTTGCATTGCTCATAATCCTGTTTTGCATGAGAGGACAAAACACATTGAAATAGATTGCCATTTGGTCAGAGAAAAGGTAAACAAAGACATTATCTCACTTGTTCATGTCTCCTCCACAAACCAGCTTGCAAACATCCTCACCAAGCCATTGTCCACTACAGCATTTGATTATATCTCTTCCAAGATGCACATGTATAATATACATGCCCAACTTGCGGGGGGTAATAGATGATAGGTTTTATTTTATATTTTGTAATTTTCATTGTTTTATATTAATGATGTATTTTTCCTAGTATAAATGTGTATAGGAATAACTCTCCTTATCTATAGTATAAATAGGTGGAAACCCTAGTTTCCAAACACTTTTTTTCGTTCTTTTCATTTTCCACATCTGAGAAATAAAATGTCTCTCTCATTTTCTTTCTTTCATCTTCTTCTTTGATCTTCGATCTTGTTGCTTGATAAAAAAAAAAAAGGACTGATAAAAATGTAAGAAATAAACAAGAAGTAACACTACTCGTTTGGCCATAGGCCAAAACAGTTCCTAATAGCAACAGGGCCAACCAGTAAAGCATACAAGGGTATGGAATTTATTAAAAAATAAGTTCAATGATAAAAGAGCATGAACCATACTTAATGAACATGTCCAATGGAAATGGTATACTGTTAGTGTTGCATGCATTAGCAGAGTGTCAATTTAATGTCGAAACTCCTTTTAGCATTTAAACTTTAAACAATAGAAAATTAAGAAACAAATTAAGTTTTACCATTAAAACCTCCAACGGCAGCCTCAACGATGCCCCTAGTCCAAGCTCTGTATACATCTTGAGTCCTACAGTCCTCCCAAAAAATCTGATCTACACTCGACAAGGAGAAAAAGAAGAATAGTGAAGCATGAAAATCCACTAAACACC